AATCGATTACTTTGAGCTGAATGTCCGCAAAATTGTCTGCCGATGCGATCGCCGTATAATTAACAGGACTTTGATAAACCATATTACACTCAATGAGATCCCGGCGCTCCACTTCAGTTCGACTGATCTTTTTGAAATATGACTTCCCATCGCACGTGTAATGACTGGTTGTTCGCGACTCTTGTTTTGTATCTAATTTTTAAAATTAAATATTTCAATATATTTAAATTAATTATTTGTTCATTTCTCAAATACTTTGTCTGGTGATTTTATTATTTTTGACATTATTATCTTTAACTATATTTTCTGCTTGATTATGATTAGGAAATGGCATTAGTGGAGGTAAATCATAACTAGTATCAATTGATAGCACCGGTACTATGCATGGAATTACTAGAATTATTATTTTAAACATTTTATATTACTTTACTCAATTCATAATTTGAAAGAAATTTCTAATTTTTAACTTTATTTACATTAAATTTAATTTTAAATGTAATTTCGTAACATGTGTTTATGTAAATTTTGTTTTTTATATTTTAGGTATTTTATCATTGTATATCTTAATTAGAAATATTCAATATAGACATCAAAATTGATATTCATATCTGTTATGACTGGAAAGTCAATTAACAAAGTCATTGATCCTATCATTTGATTAATACTAAACATGATTACTAATTAATATAATGCAATTCTTAATATTCAATATAGACATCAAAATTGATATTCATATCTGTTATGACTGGAAAGTCAATTAACAAAGTCATTGATCCTATCATTTGATTAATACTAAACATGATTACTAATTAATATAATGCAATTCTGTGTGTGTTTCAAATAAAATATTATAATACTTTGTATTATGGAGTGTACGCTATTGAGAAAAAATATACAGAATCGTATGAATTCGGTATATATTGTACTATATTTATAAATTCAAGGAAACTTTTTTTCATTTTATTTATTTTATTTAATAAATAGATAAGAATTTTAATCTCAACTAGGCTTTAATAAAAATAGTCGCAAATAGTGTATACAACTGAGAGTTAATGCTATCAATCGGTATTTAATTTACAAAAAGGACTTCTTATTGAGAGATAAACTTCTGAATTGTGGAAAATTTTTAGTCAGAAAACAACTTTTTCTCAACTATTTTAACCTCATTTTTGACTCAAATAATATTATTAAGTGGAACTCCGTTTCACGTGAATTACACTTTCGAGAGGAAAATAATGCTGAGTTTGTATCAAAAAGATAATAATTTACTTTAAAGTTTAAAAGGTTATTTCTCAAAACATTTGAATCTTATTCGTATAGTAAACTATACCACAAAACTCTAAACTGTAGGCGCATTGTCACACGTGTGGCGCCAATACTAAGACTATGCGAAACTAAAAGGGGCCCCGGACCCTTGTACCGGTATATCCCAATTAAAAAATAAATTTATACTTTTTATTAAATGTATCAAAACACTTCTAATCAGTCAATACTATTAGAAACGAACAATATTTAGACATTTGAGTTGAAAACCAATTTATTTTACACACACAGGGAAAGGAAGGTTAGAGAATCCATTTGCGATAACTCTCGGCGGCACTGATAGTCACATCCCTGACCCAATTATATTCACTTCAATAAATCGCAATCAGTCCATAATTAGGCACAATCAGCATAATATAGTTTTATTCAACATTCATTTCATTTCTATTCATATCAATACATAAAATCTAGAAAATTAAATTTTATAACACATTAAAACTTATAACAAACTCAATGATTAAATAATTATGAACACAATCAATGTGTGGGCGAAAAATGAGTGGTGATCAGGGTATAAATATATAACATTTATCTGATGTACAGTATACATTAGATTACAGCAAACATCTACTATATAATGTGTATATTACTTTATTTTATAAATTAATGTTTTGCATGTCTATAAATTATAGACTATAATACAGTATATTGTACCGGTATAATGAATACTATGAATAGTGTACTTTCATATTTAACTGTTTAATGTATACAAAAATGTTATGAAACTTTTTAAATTTTATCATAATTAAATAAATGTCCTTAAAATGTAAACCAATTTTAATTATAAACTTTTAGAAATATGATAAAAGTAAAAATAACTTCATAACAATTTTTGTATTCAATATTTATTACGGTATAATTAAAGTGTGCGTTAATTATAGCTAGCATTGAGTGTATAATCTCTCAACGACTCTGAGGTTTATCTACAGAATGGAGACGTTTTTGACTAAAATCGCGATAAATATCTTGAATGGCAGTCAACCCATCAAACGCTAACTGATAGCTAATCTCATGCGTGGACTCCGAAGACAATTGTTTGAGATATTCGCCACAATTATGCAACAATTGCTGCAAACAATCGCACAATTGGGGAACAAATAGCACTTCCACCGAGGAATAGGTGGACAGACATAGTATCTGATTAGTCAGCGAAATGGCTGCCGACAAAGCACCGGCCCTGTGAGCGCTGGCTATGATATAGTCGACAGAATCGCCAAACGAGTCGCAGATGTATCGCCGGAAAAGGGCTAACAGTTCGCTGCGATTGGAGACCAATTGAGTTTCAGTGAAGTCATTGCCCGACAGACTCAGCGTATGGACAACGAGCCACAGATAGTCCATGAACTCAATGTTCTCGGGGTCTTCGCTCAAGAGGTGATCCGAGGCCTCCAGAAGGCATTTGACGCACTCGTATCGCCGGTCAAACGCGAGCCACAACTGGCCGATCGTGTCGTCTAAGTACAGCATTTTGTTGATCACCAGAATCACGCTCTTCAGGAGATCGCAATTCAAACAGTTCTCGAGTGTGTAGTGAATGGTCTGCAGGAAGTGGTCGCTGTTGTCGCGGATGGTCTGCAGCCACAGCGCCTGTGTCTCACTGTTGCTCAGGGATGCGCTCACTATACGTATCACTTGTATCACGAATGGTATGTCCGAAGAGCTCATCGAATCCACGATTAATTGTCTGCAGAAATAGTTACAAAAAACGTAAAATTATTATAAAATTGTAAATAATTGCAGAAATGACTCGTGAAATGCAAACACAGGATATTCTGTAAATATATATCAGGGTATAAGTTATACCGGTATAACAATTATGAACACAATATACGGTATAAATACTGTAGTGACCAAAAACGGTATACAAATACCTGAAGTGTTGTTTATTCGCCAAATTGAGACAAATGTCTGAATTGATGGCAATGTTAGCCAATATTCCGGCACTGATTTCCTACAAGAAGTGCACAACAGATACACTCTATTAACACATATCGACCACAAGAACAGTACTCGTGAGTGAGACTCACAGCAAAACGGGGCGAATTAGTCCTCGTGATGATCGTCTCGAACAGATCCATGGCTTTGATCTCATAGAGGAATGCCATCACGTCTTCGTTGGTCGACATGTCCCACAGTATCGACAGCTCCTCCTCCGACCTCTCGTCCAACTCAATGGGTTCTTGCGCTGACCCCTCACTATCACCGCCACTGCCATCATCGCCATCACCACTCTTCTCACCGTTCACTATCTGTTTCAGACATACAATTTGTGTCACATATGGTGTCCATCGGTGGTGGCTATAAGTGGTGGTCATCGGTGGCCAATCACCAGCGCCTGCCATACCTTAACGGCGTTCACCAGACATTTGAAGAGCCAGTGCTTGGAGTAGACGGTGTCGCCGATGGTGTCCGTGCTGTCCATGTGGTCATCGGCGGTGTCATCGATGCCGATGTGACACAACTGGTCACTCAAGTGGTCACTCATTGTCTCCTCAGTTGACAGCACTTTGATGTCAACATTGGGTTCAGCTTTTGCGGGCCATTCATATATAACGTCCAAAAAATGATATTTCGCACGAAATACACTTTTATTGAATTAAATAGTGTTTTAATTGTAATTAAAACTAAAATAATTGATTTAATTGATCATTATTATAGTCTCGCAATGGATACAAATAGTTTTTGTAGTAAAAAGTAAAAAATAAGCAAGCAAAAAAGTCTACGACACCCGGTATTCCCAGGTGGTCTCCCTCCCAAGTACTAACCGGGCTCGACGCTGCTTAACTTCGGGGATCGAACGAGAACCGGTGCTTTCAGCGTGATATGGCCGTAGACATTATGGTGTGATTAGCTTGCTTCTTTTATGCTTACTCAATTATGGTTTCAATGAATATTAATAGCATAAGAAATACAGTACTGTAGCATAGGATTAATGTGCTATTAATTGAATACAAATACAGTATCATAAATATATTATATTTTAAGATATTTCGCTCAAAATCTATGTATGAATGTGTTTTGTCTCAATATTTGTGCAAAACTTATATAANCAATAGCGTACACTCCATAATACAAAGTATTATAATATTTTATTTGAAACACACACAGAATTGCATTATATTAATTAGTAATCATGTTTAGTATTAATCAAATGATAGGATCAATGACTTTGTTAATTGACTTTCCAGTCATAACAGATATGAATATCAATTTTGATGTCTATATTGAATATTCCTAATTAAGATATACAATGATAAAATACCTAAAATGTAAAAAAACAAAATTTACATAAACACATGTTACGAAATTACATTTAAAATTAAATTTAATGTAAATAAAGTTAAAAATTAGAAATTTCTTTCAAATTATTAATTGAGTAAAGTAATATAAAATGTTTAAAATAATAATTCTAGTAATTCCATGCATAGTACCGGTGCTATCAATTGATACCAGTTATGATTTACCTCCACTAATGCCATTTCCTAATCATAATCAAGCCGAAAATATAGTTAAAGATAATAATGTCAAAAATAATAAAATCACCAGACAAAGTATTTGAGAAATTAACAAATAATTAATTTAAATATATTGAAATAATTAATTTTAAAAATTAGATACAAAACAAGAGTCGCGAACAACCAGTCATTACACGTGCGATGGGAAGTCATATTTCAAGAAAATCAGTCGAACTGAAGTGGAGCGCCGGGATCTCATTGAGTGTAATATGGTTTATCAAAGTCCTGTTAATTATACGGCGATCGCATCGGCAGACAATTTTGCGGACATTCAGCTCAAAGTAATCGATTNCGATGGGAAGTCATATTTCAAAAAGATCAGTCGAACTGAAGTGGAGCGCCGGGATCTCATTGAGTGTAATATGGTTTATCAAAGTCCTGTTAATTATACGGCGATCGCATCGGCAGACAATTTTGCGGACATTCAGCTCAAAGTAATCGATTCACACTTTGCCTTAAGAGATGTTAATGGTATACCACAATTTTTTTTGCTTATTTTTTACACCAAGCACATTTTATTTATTTTTATTTAAAAAATTATTTGCCATGAAGATTTAAATTCGCTTAATTGCATAATTTTGATGATATGGCATATACTTACAGTTATATATAATTGGATCATACCATAAAATTTAACCAATAACTGATAAAACTTAGGTGCAATTTTGGTGTAAAGTCAATTAGAGAGCTTTTGAGTTCTATTAGATAATTATGCATTGATAAATAATAAGTTTTAAAACTTTTAAAATTTAGTTATTTATGATTAAAAGGTACAGAATTATACAGCAATGTGGGTGTAGTGGTGAATGAACCCTGTTTAGGGGCAATCATCTATATATACGGTTATGGTAAAGTAACCCGGGGCTCGTGTACAGGCAAAACAGGGGTAACTGAAGTGAGTGTTATTAAGGACGGCCTGTTTTCCATACGCGGGACGTGCGACTCCACGTGCTGGGGCTCTGTTAATACGGTTTATAACCCGGGTATTATACTGTATGGTGACTGCCGGTTACTAATATTATCACCCAACTTTTCCCTACACGTTTCTCTAACACAATAAACACTCTTATGCCTGATTAAAAATTTTATGTTTTAAATATGTATTAATTCTTTATTATTAATATTTTGTATTTATTCTGTAACAATTAATTTTAAATAAAATTGGGTTATAAATTATAACTTATAATAAATATTTTATGACTTGTTATTAATATTACAGTAGTTGTATTATAAAATAATGAATTAATTACATTAGAATGAAATTTAAACCAATTTTTTAATTAGTATATTTTAAAAATGATAAATTTTATTAAAAATAAACTTAAATTAAAAATAAATATATAAACTTTCCACCAAACTTATTCTAATACCCTTGTAATGGTATGTGGTATCAAATTTATAACGTTTGTTTACTGTACTGTATGTGTTACTAATATAACATAAAAATTGAAATAAATTCTTACAATGAAAATACATATTAATTATAGAATTAATTGTATTAAATAATAAAATAAAAATCAAAATTATGAACATAAAATTACTACAAATTGCACATATAAAAGGTTATTTAAAACATACACTAACCAGTTATTAAAACTACGTAAAAAGTAAACATAATTTATATGTATTTAAGAGTGTGTAGTTTATTGATACTTTTGCTCGGTAAGAATATTATATATAAAATTTATTTTAAAAAAATTAAAGAGTATTAACTGTACTTACAATATACATGAAATTAAACATGTGTTTAGTGTATTGTATTAAATTTTTAGTATTTTCAAGTCGTATTCTCATATTCATATATAAATAAAACCTATAGTTTTATTTGTTTCTTAAACTTTTTTTGAATACTTTATGGATTTTATAAGTTAAAATTTATAAATTGTTTAAAACAATTAACATAATGTCTTTAAATGTCTTAATATTTATATTATTTTCAATAATTAATTGTGTGTTAAATGAAGAAAATAAAACACAAACTCAGAGTAAAACAAAACTATATATATTATCGTCATATACAGTATATCGGAATATTCTGTTTATATGTTTTCAGGTACAGAACCGGCCGGTACTGAAACAATGGAGGGCTATATGAGGACAAGACTCATGAGTCTATACGTATGCGATAAGGACTCGTACTTTCGAAAAGTCAACCGAACGGCACAGGGATTCACGGACTTCAAGTGCAATGATATAGCGCTGGATACTAATTACTACACTATTGTCGGATTCAAAGCCAAAACCAATGAGGAGATCAATTTGGATGTCATCGATGCCTACTATGCGCTCCGGGATATTAACGGTAAGGATTGTATTGAATTTAATAAAAATATAATGAAATTGAAAAGAAAATTTTTGATTTAAAGGTAACGAAGATTACAGTAATTTTGGGACAATAGTGAGCGGTGTCTGTAAGGGAGGGCTCGTTGTAATCAAAGACATATCGTTAGCAACGGAGGGCGCGTGCGATGCCAATGGAGGTGTTACACGCGTACAGTCAGGACCCAGGGATGCCTTACTGGCCATCAGAGGTGTGTGCAATTCAACCTGCTCTGGAAAGGTAGTAGTGGACTACCGACCCGGCAAAAGGCATTGAATTCTATGTATTTGTAATATTTATTGTATAAATAAAATTCTGATTATTCTTATACTTATTTTTAAATTTTATAAATTATAAATAAAAACTGTATTTAAATGAAGTTAACAATAAAAACTCCGCACATTTGCTACATTCAGGTCTTTGACATTAATTTATAAAAATATTAAACATGTTTTAATTCTCTATAAATTATTACTAATATAAAAATATGTCTGCTCAGTTTAAATGTATGAGTTTATTTGTAGGATTAATATACTGGAGTTTTCCAGAATTGTCCAGATTTTGACCCCCTTTTTAATAAACTTGGCTTTTATTATAAATTTGTTTTTTTTGTGTGAGGATAGTATTAAGTGTATTTTTTTAATTTATTAATTACATGGTCACTAAACTTCATGATTTAATATTTATTAACGAATATTTAACCAGTACTATTATGAAGTATTAAATACCTCATTTTTATCCGTTATACTCATGTATTTTTAATTAATCGTGTGTAAATAAAAAATGTTTTCAGTTTCCGATTTAACATTTATGTCTATTTTATTAACTTGTGTTTTAACTAAAAATCATCCATCAGATTATGACAATACATATGATAGTATGAATATATTTTGTTATAATGTTTATATTTAATAATTACTATATTCTATATATTCTTTAGATTCTTATAGTTATAGTGAAAGTGAAGACATAGCAGAAAATGTGGTTCAGATACTACAAGTTAAAGCATTGTATACCTGTGCGAAGGGCTCGTACTTCGAGTTCATTGAGAGGATATCGATAGGCAGTAGAGATGAACGGTTTCATTGCAACGGATTTTTCTTTGAAAGACATAATTACACACTAATTGGGTATAAGAATAATGAGAAGTTGTCTATCAATGTGGTCAACGCTTATGGATATCTCAGAGATACTAACGGTTTGTTAGATATAGTGAAAGAGTTGTAATTAACATACAATTGCATTATAGGCAATGAGAGCTATACAGACATCGGTGTGATAGCTGGTGGTGAATGTGACGGTGCGCTGATTTTGAAACAGGAGTACAATTGGCCTCAAATGGGAACTTGCGATTCACCACAGGGTGTGACACACGTGCGCTCCCATAGGGATGCACTCTATGCTATTAGAGGGCCGATGTGTAGTTCCACGTGTTTGGGACAGAATAGTGTCGAGTACTGGCCTGGGAAGTCATCTAACAATACTTTAAGATAATTGCAGATTGCTAGATTAACTACATTTTATATTTATAAATATAAAGTTAATTATAATATCACACATTATATTTGTAAATTTATTGATTTTTTATAAATATAAATAATTTATTACACATGATTTTTATTACGTAGTATTTGACATTTTAATTATACTTGAATTAAAATAAAATAAAGTACTGTAAGTAAAATTGACTATTTCGATAACTTATTGAATTTATATGATTTCAAAATTCAAGCTTGAGATCAAGTTCAAGAATGATATAAAAAATATTTAAATAACATAGATAGGATTTTTTTTCTTTAGGGGAAAGGGAGAGAAAGGGAGGGGAAAGAGAGAGCAGACACGCAATTTAAGCAAAACTTAAGTTTGTCTGAATACACAAGTGCTATAAAACCCATAATAAAATCAATGAAATTCATTAGAAGTCATAATAATATAAATTATTCTATATATTCCTATATATTCTATAATAAATTGTTTTTACAATTCCAAGAATAAGTATATTTATGTTTGATATTCACGCATTCATGTTTGGGATAATAAAGAATACAATAGTGAAAAATTTAGTTCAAAATTTAAAAATATTCCGGATTTGAATAGTGTATCCCTGGCTACATAAAACCACTATAAACAAATATATATTATCGAGATCACTGGATAAGTATAATGAAGTTTAAATATTTTTGTTTTTTTTTTGTTTTTCTAATAATATCATAAATATAAAAACTTAAAATCAATAATTACTAAGAAATGTAAAATAAAGAAATCATAATACTGTCGTTAGATATCTATAGAGATCATTAAAAACAGAGAAATAATTTGAATGTTATATAAATGTTTGCTTTGGCCTAATAGTTATTATCTTATTTATCTTGAGAATTTCTAGAATATAATTTCTAATTTGTTTTATAAAATACTGTATAAATATTAATTTTGTTTAATGAAATGTTTTATTACAAGATCGAGAGAAGTGAATATATTTACAAAATGCCTGAAATGACTGCACAAACTCGGAGTAATGAATCCATAATTAATACCCAAAATGGAAACAATATTTCTGCGAATATTAACAACTTTAATGGTGTTAATCAACCTCTTAGACGCCTGTCCATTAGTGATCGAGACTTTGATAACGTGCCCCATAATACATACAATACCACACAAACCAATGGAACACCTAATGTCAGAATAATACCCATCACCACAAGTCCGCCCCGAGTGATAAACAACTACCAAATGAATGGTAACACCAATAGAGTGGCGCCAATGCATACGCCGGCAGTGGCACCGGTACCTGAAAAGGTCGGGTTTAACGGCAGTTATAATGGAGGGATACGTATGCCGTCAGAGAAACAAGAGTTTGAGGTGTTGTGGCATCAGTTGAGCTATAATATAAAGGGACGTCTGTTTTCCAAGCAAAGTAGGCGTACTATACTTCATCATCTGAATGGATATTTCCGGAGCAGTGAAGTGACTGCTATTATGGGTCCCAGCGGTGCCGGCAAATCAACACTACTTGAGATTATTGCCGGTAATTATTTATTTTAATTATAATATTTCTTCCTAAATTAAACTTAAATAATTTCTATAAACAAAATAACATAATACAGGTATATTTCTAAGTAGATCATAATTATTAGGCAAATTGTTTTTACAGTTAGAAAATGATATATTAATTTTAAGTACCGTAATTGAATATTTACTTTTAAATAATGTAACATATAACAAGGTAATAATTAAATTAATTGGATTATAAGAAGTTTGGGCAACTTTTTTGTTATGAAACTGTATAACTGAATATATGCTAACAGGTCGGCGCCGACAGGGAGTGGTGGGTGAGGTGCGTATCCGAGGCGTGGATGAGGTGAAGATCGGATTTGTACCACAAGACAACTATCTGATGGAGTTGTTGACCGTGAAGGAGACCCTCGTGTTTGCCTCCAAACTGATCCACACAAAGCTGGACTCAAACGACCACAACGTAATCGCCGATAAAGTGATCCAACGCTTCGGACTCGAGAAGATCTCCGACACGAAAGCCAAGCGATGCAGTGGTGGTCAACGCAAACGGCTGTCCATCGCCCTCGAGATCGTCTCCAAACCCAATATCCTAATCCTGGACGAGCCCACCACCGGACTCGACAGCCCCTCCTGTACTCACGTACTGAATATTCTGCAAGAATTGGCCGCTAATAAGACCAGTCCCGTGGCTATCATCGCCACAATACACCAGCCCTCTGTCAACCTATTCAACAGCTTTCATAGGATCTATGTGTTGACTAACAGAGGCAGGTGTATATACCAGGGTATGTTTTATAAACTTTTTTTTGTAAACCTGTGTGTAATTTGAATGGATTTTTTCAGGTCCTCCCAGAAATCTGGTGCCGACTTTGAATCGTGTGGACATTGTCTGCGATCAGTTCACATCGCCGGCCGACTATATCATCGAAATCGCTGCCAACGATTACGGACCGATACCCATGAAAAAGATGTGCGAAGTGGCTATGAATCAGGACCTGGATCACTTGACCACAATGGATACCCGTCCACTTTCTTCCACTCTGAAGATCTTTTCGTTCCCATTTTGGAAGCACCTGAAGCTACTGTATATTCGGTCGCAGATTGTCATATACAGAGACCCCTTCCTCACAATCCTTCGTATAATTATGAGTGTATTCTCGGCGGTCAGTCTATCCATACTGTTTGGCCGTGAAATTGGCAAAACCTCCGGATGTCCGCCCCGTCCAATAGAGCTGTACTCAACACCCGTCACCGTTTTGTCCAAGAAGTTTGAGACCGACTTGAATAGCGTTATGCAAAATGTATGCCTACTGTTCCTGGGAATTATGGTGGGATTCCTGAGCGGACTCACACCTACTTTACTTAACTTTCCCAAAGAGATGCAGGTCTTTCACAAGGAGTACCACAATAGCTGGTACTCATGTATTACCTACTATTTGGCGAAAGTTTTATCAGACGTTCCGTTGCAGGTCAGACCATATACTATGATTATGATTACAGTTTTTAACATAACATAACATGTGTTTTGACTATTTTGATAAACAGGTGATAACGCCGTTGATATATATGGTGATCACGTACTGGTACTCCAACCAACCCCACGAACCCATCCGTTTCGGACTATTGCTATTCATATCAATAATATTGAGTTTTTTGGCGCAAAGTATAGGCGAGTGTACGTCAGCCATCTATATGGACAACCAGAATGCAGCCGTATTTGCGGGCGGACTCATACCCCTCCCGATGATACTGTTTGGCGGCTTTCTCGTGAAGGTCGAGCGAATGCCTGTCTATTTGCAACCCCTCTCATGGCTATCGTTCCTTCGGTTCGCCTTCGAGGCACTCATGATCAGCACCTATGGTATCAATCGGTGTGAATATAATTACCAGCAGTTCCTCCAGACTGTCAACCAGTCGGCCGTTACAAAGCCGTTGTGGGCCGAGTCGTTGCCCATTCTCATGGGTTATGTCGACCAGAAACGTGGTGTCGAGTCCGTGGTCTACGAGACTGAGGAGGAGGAGGAAAATGCCAACATTGAGCGCCTGTACCGTGTGTTTGGCGGTGGGGTTATGAAGGAGGGACAGGGGGTTGACTTCAATTCATCACTGATTCTCACTTTCTATGACATCGA